GGGATTGTTCTTGAAGGATATTTGCGTTTTTCTGCTATCATTGTATTTCTGCTAGATTGAAATGCATAGAACACTACTGTGCTTTAACGATTTATGTTGTTATCATTAGAAAAAGACATTTGTAATTGTGAAAAGAACTTGGTATTTTTTAAAAAAAATATTATGAAGATGTTTAAGTTCTCACAAAAAGAAAGAAGAATGGAATTCTTTTTTATAAGCAAGTTCACTAAAATACTGTGTGCAAGGAATTTTTTTAAGGTTTTTTTTTTTTTTTTTCTTAATTAAAAGAAGAATGTTGAAATTAATGCTGGGATTATTTTGCATGGCTAAAAGTATTCTTCAGGTGTAAAAGCTCCAACCCAATGTTTATTATTACTGCTATTATCTCACAATTGAAAAGTTGAAATTTTGTAATTTTTAAAAATTAAAAAATACCTGGAAGAAAGGGAACTGTGATAGCTTAAGTCTTGAACTCAAAATATATAATTATCCCAAACCTTTTCTAAAATGTTTATTTGAAAATAAATTTTTCTGTAAGCTTTTCAGAAAGTTATTTGTGGATATGCTTTTGAGACATTCTGGAAATTACATATTGTGATTTATTTTGTACTCGAAAAATCTCTGTCAGTGACTCTGCCAATTTCATCATTCTGGTTATTCTACCCTTTGAAAAAGGTAAATGTGCATATTTGAGCCATAGTCCATTCCTGCTCGACAGTGATGGACTTTAGGGACTGAAGGAAACTGATGTTAAGACGTACATGTTCTGTAAGAAATTATAGTTAGCTGTGATGGATTTGACTAGCTCGCACTATTTCATCAAAATATTTCAGAAGTATTCACCGAAAAGGTTGTTTTAAATTATAGTATTTAGCAAGAAAGTTTATTATTATAGGCTCATTGGCATTTATATTCATGTCCATAATTATCTTCATGTGCATGAAATTACGGATGTCTCAGAAAATGTGACCTATAATTGAATGAATTTTTGTAGAATGATACATAACTTCATAACACATAAATACAAAGGGAAAAAAATTAAGATATAAAACTGAAACATGAAAAAATAAAAATGGCAATATGTTAAAAGGAGAGTTAAGGGGGAATGAAAGAATAACTCGGAACAAATTAAAGCTTATGAATTTAATATAGAATATGATCTTCACTGATTTGTACACACATCTCACAAGCTTTTTCATATTGGTAATAAAGTTGCTAACCACATTTTGGAGAATTAAGTTCCACTCCCCCAGCAGCGAAGTCTTCAGGGTGTTTACATCTCTAGAAAGAGGATGTCTCTATGCAACTGCTTTTCCAGTCCTGCAAGTAGTCTATCGTTTTAAAATCAAGAGATTTTGCTGGCTATAGTATTCGCTCAAATGTCTTCACATTCAAGGAATTCATCAACGAGGTTTGCTCGATATGGATGAGCATTATTGTCTATAAATAAGAAGTCTGATATGTATGCACCTGTGAAACATCTTGCATGCAATTATAAGACCTCGCCCGATATCTGTAGCTGTCAAAAGATCTGCTATTTAAAACGTGTGGAGGCATATGCACGTTAGTCATTATTCCTTCCCATACCATCTAACCTACATTACCGAAATCGTCATATTCCTTAATGATTGAAGGAAGATTTCATGTTCAGACTCCCTCCATATGAAAACATGTTTAGATTCAGATATTAAACTGAACGTTGACTCATTGGTGAAGAGAGCACGAAACACTAATGTTCACTCCAGGTCTGGTGCTCTTTGCATCAGTTAAAGTGATCCCTCTTTAGTTGTGAAGACAGTGAAATGCGTATCTTTGGCTTTCTGACATAAAGTCCTTTTTCATTAAGCTTTCTGTACACAGTTTACTGTGATACACTAATTCCAGTGGCAGCTGCAAGCTCTGAAATTAACTGCCGAGCTGTAGACTTCCTGTTATAATAGGCAGTTTTAGCCAATTATTAATGTTGAAAAGCAAGATCTTCAAAAATTGTTATTAGTTTATGAGCTTGTCCAAGCCTTTTTATAACAGTTCCAAAGTTTTGAAATTATTCCCATGCCTTTGAGACTGTCTTGAAATATTCATACATCTTGCTGCTTCCATGATTGTCAAATGGCCCTGCTTCTAAGGGGTTGATGATATGCTACCTCACAAATTCTTCCTAATGATACTTCAGAGCCATAACAAACCGTTTCGAGTCCTGATGCACTGAGGTCAAATGATGTATTGCAGAAACTCACTTAGATATCCACTTTGTGCGAAGCACTTGATACATAATCAGATGATGTAATGCTTTGATTTGCATATCAGAAACTGTTTGGTCACTTTTGATTGGATAATGCTAATAAGGCTTCTCTTTTATACCTTCGCTGCAAAAATACATTACACTACCCTCTAGAAGTTAAGGAACAGCATGGTTTTTGTGTCTAATTTGAGAATGAAGCGACATAGAAGCAAGAAATTTACAGGACATGTTCACTAAAAAGGGGAGTATGTAAGGTATTTCTCCCACCTTCTTAGCATGCCTTCATAGTGGTCCAGCATGCTGGACGCATATTCCAGAGGTCCATGATTCAATTCCTGGCAAGGGCGTTGCTCATTTTTTATCTCTTCTGCTTTAAAAAAATCCTAATGTCTCTGCAGTGGTGCCCAAACTAAAAGGGTGGTGGATGATGATTCTTCACTAACATCATTTGGCGATTGGGTTCCCTAAAACCTCAGTTTCCCTTTAAGAAAGGGGGAGTATACAGTCAAAAGTCGTTAATCCGGACTCGTCGGGACTTCGGCGATTCCGGATTATCGATTTTTCCGGATTATAGATCATCAGTTTAAATCTGGTAAGATGGCATGCAGAAATTACAAAATTAAAAATATGAAACCGTAATTTATGAAATAAAGAACAATTATGATCTAAAGGGTATCAAAATTTACAAAAAGAAAAAGCTTAATATTTATTTGTTTACTTTATTAAACATTTCTTTCAATGCAAGTTGCTTCGTTTCATGTGATAATACTTTCTCTTTAATTCTATTAAACAGACATAATTTCTTGTTTAATTACAAAGTTCCGCTGTTCAAGTCCTATAATTGCTGTGTTGAGAATACCGACTAATTTGTCAATCGAAATGTTTTCGTTTTCAATAACCTCTGGGTCACTTTCTTCACTATCGGAAGCGAATTATAATGACGAGGAACTTGATTTAAATCATATCAAAGACGGAGTACATCGAAATGAAATACTACACTTAGTACGGAATTATAAACCAAATAAAATAAAAACATCTGCCCTGAAGATAAGGATAGTGCTGACATATCAACTTCCAATCCGCGGCGTGAAATTGATAAACAGATTTCGGATTTCAAAACATACTTTCGCTTTGTAGATACAAATTACATATTAGTAAATATATATCGGAAATTCTATTTGACATAATCTTTCTAATCTATCATAATCTAATAATGACGTTTCTGACCCCCCCCCTCTGCCGCAGAGCAGCGTGAAATTGATAAACAGATTTCGGATTTCAAAACATACTTTCGCTTTGTAGTAAATATATATCGGAAATTCTATTTGACATAATCGAAAGTTCAAGCTTACTTTTATAAAATTGCTCTAACAGTCTGCAAAAAATAATAAGCCGGATCCATTTCGAAGATTAAGGAACAACGCAATCTGCAACATTAACTGAATTAGATAACTTTAGCTTAGCGTATAACTCCGTTACACATTAAACGCGCATGCGCACAAACATATTCGCAGCCGTAAGGGTCTTACGCGCTCTCGTAAACGCCTGTGCGCATGCGTGAACACGACGCTTGCGCAGAAAGTTTGTAGCTTTGAGGTCCGGATTATAGATCATTCCGGATTATGGGTGTCCGAATTAACGACTTTTGACTGTATAAGGTATTTCTCCCGCATTTTTAGCATGCCTTTGTAGAGTAGAGGTCAGCACGCTGAGCGCGTTTTCTAGAGGTCCGTAGTTCGATTCCTGGTGAAAGCGTTGCTCATTTTTCATCTCTTCTGTTAAAAAAAAAAAAAAAAATCCTAATGTCTCTACAGTACTACTTGATTAATTTTAAAATGAAAAACTTTTAGAATAATTGATGCAGTTTAAACAGAAAGGCCAAAATTTCAGAAGCTAAGACATGGACTTTTCTTCATAATTTAAATAACTATCTCATTGTATTTGCAAAGTTCAAAGATATACTTTATATTTTTTCCTTATTAAAATTAGGCATAAAAATTCAGTATCATGTTTTAAGGATCACTTTTATTTATTTACTTAAGTATATATGTTAGTAATTTTTCTTTTTTCCATGCTAATAATTTCAGCTTTGTGGACCTATACAACTTAAAAAAATCAGGTCATGAGGAATGTATTAAATATCGGAATGGTTATCCTTATTGGTCAGTTACCATATCATCAGATCCAGAGCTCGGAAATGTACGAGCTGGGGATTGATGCCCATATTTTTTTAAAGTGAATTTTGCATTGAGAAAATATTTACAAGTATTTTTGTTACAGTTTTGTGAACTAATTATTACTTATTTTAAAATTTGTCATTAAATGTTCTTATTTTAGGAAAGCTTATTTTTTGCATAAATACCTCCATATCATGAAGTATTTTATTTTGATTGCTTTTAATAGGAATTCAGTGAAAAATAAAAATTATTTGAAATTGGAAGTATAGCTATATAGCTTAAAAAAGTAAAATCATTAACTCTCTTTTTTAGTTCAGAAAGCAAGTTAGTAGCTGGAGCATTATGAAACTTTCCCTCTTGCTTTTTACATCTGGTTTAAATTAATGACAATTATTGATTTAGAAAAGAATTTCCTGCGTTTTAAATGTACAGTGGTATAAAATAATTTTCCATGTTAATTCAGCGAGGTAAACCAAATTAAACTGAATATTTTCATTAATAATAACTTTCTTCTCTGTGTTTTTGAGTGAAAACATGTACACGATATTGAAATGAATTTAACTGTAATATATGTATTGCAGGTGGGAGTGTGAAAGCTTACTTTCTGAGATGTATACTGTGTATATTGAAAGCTGTTTAGCAAGTCCATTATCAGGTTGCATTACACTTGAAGTAAGTCCAAGGGAAACCATAAAAGAAGTAGTTAGCAACTTTCTAGATACAGTACAAAAAGAGAAGGGTGAATCAGGCCTGGCTGTTTTTGACAAATATCATAACAAACTTCTGTGGAATGCTACTGTAGAATCTCAAGGAATTGAAGCAGGATCCAAATTATATATCCGTTATGACAGTAAGTTAATCAAAGGTATTCCAGAGTGAATTTAACTACAGTCAAAAGTCGTTAATCCGGACTCGTCGGGACTTCGGCGATTCCGGATTATAGATCATCAGTTTAAATCTCGTAAGATGGCATGCAGAAATTCCAAAATTAAAAGTATGAAACCGTAATTTATGAAATAAAGAACAATTATGATCTAAAGGGTATCAAAATTTGCAAAAAGAAAAAGCTTAATATTTATTTGTTTACTTTATTAAACATTTCTTTCAATGTAAGTTGTTTAAGTTTTGCTTCGTTTCATGTGATAATACTTTCTCTTTAATTCTATTAAACAGACATAATTTCTTGTTCAGTTACAAAGTTCCGCTGTTCAAGTTCTATAATTGCTGTGTCGAGAATACTGAATAATTTGTCAATCGAAATTTTTTCATTTTCAATAACCTCTGTCACTTTCTTCGCTATCGGAGGCGAATTATAATGACGAGGAACTTGTTTTAAATCATATCAAAGACGGAGCACATCGGGGTGAAATACTACATTTGATAAGGAATTATAAGCCAAATAAAATAAAAACATCTGCCCTGAAGATAAGGATAGTGCTGACAGATCAACTTCCAATTCATTACGCGCACGGCGCGGCGTTCCCCCCCGCCAAGCAGCGTGAAATTGATAAACAGATTTCGGATTTCAAAACATACTTTCGCTTTAGATCCTTTACATATTAACAAATATATATCGGAAATTCTATTTGATATAATCAAAAGTTTAAACTTACTTTTATAAAATTGCTCTTACAGTCTGCAAAAAATAATGAGCTGTATTCAATTCGAAAATTAAGGAACAACGCAATCATCAACATTAACTGAAATAGATAATTATTTAGCTTATACGTCCATTATGCATAAAACGCGCACGCGAAAACGTATTCTGCACTTGCGCACACTCATATACGCAGTCATAAAAGGTCTTACGCGCACGGCGCATGTGCAGAAAGTTTTTAGTTTTGAGGTCCGGATTATAGATCATTCCGAATTATGGGTGTCCGAATTAACGACTTTTGACTGTATTTGGTGATATGATTCCTAACTCAACATATGTATTGTACAGTTCCAAGAATCCAAGTTAACTGGGATCATAGCCTATCCATATACAATACAAAGTCCGAAATCCGGATTTGTCGGGACTTCAGCGATTCCAGATTTTGGATTTTTCCGGATATTAGATCATCAGTTTAAATCTACTAAGATGAAATGTAGAAATTATACAATTAAAAATATGAAATCGTGATTTATGAAATAATGAAATATTTATGATCTAAAGGGTATCAAAATTTACCAAAAAAAGTTTAATTTTTATTTGTTTACCTTATTTAATATTTCTTTCAACGCAAGGTGTTTCTTTTTTTGTGCTAATGCTTTCTCTTTAATTATGTTCTATGTTAGACATAATCTCTTGTTTAGTTATATTGTTGAAGTCCTGTAACTGCTATTTTGAGAATTCTGACTAACTTGTCAATCGAAATTTTTCGTTTTCAGTAACTTCTTAGTCACTTTCTTCACTAACGGTAGCGGTATTTTCTGGATCTAGAACCATACTACAGATTTCGCCATTCATTAATTAATTGATGATTGAGAAGCATTGTCATCACAATGAAAAACTTCTTTTATATCATCTTCATTTATTACCGCTTCTCCACATTTCTTTACAAAATCTGGTAAGTGGAAAATTTCATCTTTGTTTTGCGATATCCGAAAAGCTTTGCTTTTCAAAATTTGCAGCTATCGTCATCAAATATAACTATCCTTCACTATGCGTATTTGGCTATGCATCATGAGCTTGGCGACTAATGACAAGTTGTTCCGTTAAATTTTTTCTTGCTTCTATCGCGCATTGAGACAATTAAGCCTGAAATTGTATGTTAGTTTATTTATTATATTCTTATGTCTATTTCTTGCACATACTTAAGTCTTATCAGAGTTCTGAATTAAGAAATTCCCATGTATACTTAAGCCTTATTGAGGGCTGGCGCTAGATATCTTACCGCCTGATGCAGACTCTGTCGGTCCTAAATTCTGCCTCGCATTGTAGCCCTACGAGCCCTGGGCTGGTTCTGGGTTTATGTGAGCAATAAATCAGTTATTCTTAATTCAAATAGCACTAAATGTAATCTTTTCATCTATGAGTATTATTAAAAAAATCTATTTTTAGCATATGAAAAAAAATTGTTAAAGTTTTCCTTGTCAACATTTTTTAGCACATTTAACTTAAACCCGTAAATCGTTGCCAAGCGTAATGTCAACATAAAAGGTTAGAGTAGTCCTTTATTATTAATATAAATTTTTTTTTTAGACGCATTACTCGAGTAATCATGTTTTGATAAACATGCGGTGTTGAAAGGAAAGCATAATAAATAATGATTCGCCAGGTTGGCATCAGATCAACGATATATCTATGTGGAATGTTTCGGTTTGAGATGTGTGCCAAGCAGGTACGTAGCAACGGAGCCAAATTACTGATCGTACAATTTTATGCTATTTCAATTTACAGGATCGTACAATTTAACTTAACGTAAGACTTCTTTAATAACAAGGTATTTTATTTAGTGTCGAAGTGAAATTAAGAATCAGGACTCAGGGGGGAATCAAACGCACATATGTGAAGCCTAAGAGAAAAATGGTTTTGCTGGTTTTGAGGTCCGGATTTTGGATCATTCCGGATAATAAACGTCCGGATTTCGGACTTTGTACTGTATTCAAGAAATCCTAGTATTTGGGTTGTCTTTTTTCTGTGAACCAAATGTAGATTTACTATAATGCAACTGAGGAGTTTTTATTTATTTATTTGGTACTTACGTATTAGCACAACCACCTTGGCTCAGTTTGGCTCAATTTTTACAGAAGAAAAAAAAGTGATTCATTCAATTTTTCGGATTGCAGTTTACAATGGTTATGGTTACGTAAAGAACTGTTATGCGCATTGTTGCCAGAGTTTGAGGAATTCAGAAAATTTGGAGACTTCTGTTAAGTTGATTGGGATAATATGTAAGTACCATTTATTTTTCGTTTGTCATATTTCATTATGGTATAAAAATTATGCAGTTAAAAATGAAGGCTATTATTGCAAAACAAAAATGTGAAACATAGTTAAGATGCAATTTTATCTATGCAAGAACTAAAACTAAGCAAATGGAAACAGGAGCTAAAACTAACGTAAGACTAACTGCATAACTTTCTTTGTATTCGACTAAAATTAGACAGAATTCTGTTATTGTCGTAAAATTAGCTGTGTAATACATAACTTCTTAAAGCCTACGTAGCATATTTTTTGTATTATTGAAATTAATGAAAAAGTTAAAAACACATAAGCTAATGAACAGCTTGATTTTAAGTGGATAGAAAGCATAAGGAGCAATATGAATAACAGAAGCTCTTGATAAATGGAGTCCTGATAATAGGAGTTATGTGATTTTTTTTAAATTAGATTAAATGACTAAAAACTCAAACATAAGCAGATCTTTCTGAATGGTTTTCTTTTTTTAAATACTCTTAAGATGCAAAGCTGTGTATTGATATATTTAAAAAAACTTTGAAACTTGAATGTATGAGAATAGTGCATATATGAATCAGTTTGAATCAAAGTTAGTTTCATATTAAACATGGAACAAAAACTAAAAAGGGCAGTATGGATACAGTACTGGATCCGAGATCTGGAATATTTAAATTTTAGATCATCAGTTTAAATCTGGAAAGATGGCAAGTAAAAAAATATTGAATAGTTTTTTAAGAAATCTAATTTTTTTAAAAAAGAAACAAAAGGCTCAATATTCACTTGTTTCATTAAGCATTTTTTTCAGGAGTGTAATAATATAGCAGGACTCCAAGTGGGGCACCCTGCATAGTGCTAAATCTGCTACAGTGCTTATTGCTTTCAAGTAGTTGCCACTGATAGAAAGTAGTGGAATTTTTTTCTTTTGACTGGTGATTAGTACTGGTTCTTGAGGGTTTAAGAAGAAATCTGATGTGAAACAAAAAATCTTTGTTAAGACTGGCTAAATTAACTTTCAAGATTTGTTTTTGGAATGCTGGTGATTTAACCCATGACAAATTTATTGAATTGAAAACTATTATTTGAAATCAAGATTTTGACATTATGGGCATAGTTGAAATTGGTGTTGCTGATGACAATGAAGACTGTTTTGATGTTCCAGGATACCAGAAATTTGTGTTAAGGTAATCAAGACAAATTGCTTCTGGTATTGCAGTTTATGTAAAACTTTCCTTAAAAGCAAAATTTGCTGCTTCCCATCAGATGACTGTTGACAATAAATTGGAATTTTGCATATAAACATAGAGACAAGATACTCAATTAAAATTTTTCTTCTTGTACAATCCTTCAAATAATAAACTTGATTTTAAAAGTATTATACTTGATTGGGACAGTAAATCACTTGGCCTTGGAGATTTCAATGCCCACTCAACTGGCTGGGGATATTTGACAACAAATGGAGTTGGTGACATTGTTGAAAATCTTATTCATTCAAATCCTATTGACTTCATTGAAAATCTTGCAAATTTCTTCAATGTTCCTGTCTCTTGGGGAGAGTGTATCTCATCCTGATTTGCTACTTACCCATCTGGTTTTGTCGGATTGAATGCTGCATGATCTAATCAATAATCCAGGTGGGTGCTGGACATGAAATACATTTTACCAGTATTGTCAGATTTAGGCCCACCAGCGGCCGAGTGGTAAAGTCGCTGAACACTGGTAGTTCGGTCCGAGGTTCGAATCCCGCGAACGGGCTGCCTGCATGGGCGTTTTCGTGGTTTTCCCCGTGTGTAACGTGTATACGAGCCAGGTTCCCTTAGAAAGTCCTCCACGAAGGCATCCCTTCCCTTAGGCAGATAGCCCTCGAGGCTTTGCCCTAATCACACACACACACAGATTTAGTTCTTCCTATAGGGAACCTCACTGGGTTTTTTGGAATTTTAAAAAAGCAAATTGGTCTAACTCTG